CTATCTATCTATCTATCTATCTATCTATCTATCTATCTATCTAATGTTTTCCCTGCATTATGTAAGTGCACCACATGGGTGCAATGCAGGCAGAGGCCAGAACAGAGCATCAGATCCTCTTGAACTGGCATTATAGATGGTTATTAGCTGCCATGTGGGTGCTGGGAACTGAATTTGGGTCCTCTACAAGAGCAGCCAGTGCTCTTAACTGCTGAGGCATCTCTGCAGCCCCTTACCTGGTTTTATACAGTGCGGGAGATTGAACCCAGGGCTTCATTCAAGCTAGACAAACATTCTATGAAGCGAGAGCTACATCCTCAGTCCTGTTTTTGCCTTTCTGAGACAGGGTCTCACTCTGGAACCCAGGCTAACCTGGAACTCACCATGTAGCCCTAGTTGGCCTCAAACTCTCCTGGAATGATCCTCCTACCTCAGCCTCCCAAATCCTGGGTTTATACCGTCAGCCATCACAGGCCTAGCTTCTTTCCTCATGCCTTGAAATCAAAGCAATCCTCCTGCCTCAGTTTCTGAGTGTTGGGATTATAGGCAGGAGCTGCCACACCAGCATTATTTAGATTTTTTTTCCCAACAAAGATGGTATATCCTGTCACAACCCTCATTTCTAAACACAGTGTCTAATTATGACACAGTCCACCCAAGGAGATAAATGTCTAGACACCTACAGCAAGCCATCAAGCAAAACAAATTTTTCATTCCCTTCACCCTTTCCTGAAATGTTTGCAGGCTTTTCTTTTCGAGATACGGTCTCCCTGTAGTCCCAGCTAGACTGAAACTCACTATGTAGACCAGGCTAGCCTCAATCTCACAGAAATCTGCCTGTCTCTGCCTCCCCAGTGCTGAGATTAAAGGAGTGCTGTCACCATGCCTGAATGTGGGCATGGTTTTTTGTTTTGGTTTTTTCTAACAGGCTCTCACTATATAGCCCAGGCTAGTCTTGAACTGGCCATCCTCCTGCCTCAGGCTCCTCAGAGTTGGGATTCCATGCAAGGTCCCCTGCAGCACAGCGACTTGAGGCAGTGCAATGTGCCAGCCTCCACCCTCCCTCCCAGTTAGAGGGGCGCGTGCAGCCAGTTGCCCGCCACGCACGCCCTTCAGGGCTCCCTATTGGTTTGGTCCACTATGTCCCCGCCCCATCGCGATTATGTGGCCCGATCAGATTTTCAACAATGACAGCCTCCTGAGGGTGCAGAGAGACGCTAGACCCTAGGCCGGG